ACACGTCTTAATTTTCGCATTTCGGTAATTTCTAAACATCCGTTTCTGCACGGAGAGAAATGTTTAGTAAAAATTACCGAACTCACACTTCGCTCACCAATTACGGAATCGGCTCAGAAAATTTAAGTGACGGTATCGTAATTTTTCAGCGATGATTCAGATAAAAATTACGAAACGCTCTGGAAAAATTCCGTGACAGTTCCGTAAAATTTCCTACAACCACATTTCGCTCCGAAATTACGGAAAAGATACGTAATTTTTATTGAATATTTCTCTCCGTGTGAGGAAGTTTTGGAAGAAAGATGATACATTTTTGATTTTTTGAATGAAGAGATGTCAATTCTTCAAAAATAAACGAGATTTGCATGTCTTGGGAACGTGCACATGGTCTAGTCATTAGATCTTGGTGAAATCGTATGTGTAAGTACAAGTGCGATGGGTTTTCCACGAGCGTAATGTTGGCAGCCCGAGACGAAACCGCGGGCTGCCAATCTCACGAGCTGAAAAATGTCGCCGCATATGTGTCTTAACTATATTGTTTGTCAGTGTTGTTGCATTCAAAGGGTACCGAACTGTACCCTTTTTCGTTAAGGGGAGTTATAAATGTAAACAAATGCTTTTTTCATACAAGTAAAGACTTCATTAGTTAGAAATAGAATCATTGCTTAGGTGGCAAAGGACAAAAAATTACTGATGTGTATGAATTCTCAGTTCAAATCAAATGAACCGTTTGTTTATTTCTAATTGATTATCTGCTTTTAGTGAATGCACTATTTATTCCATATATACGGAGAGAAATTGTTTACAAAATTTCTAATGCTAACACGGGAAAAGAGGTCCAAAGTGACGGCCAGGAAAAAATTCCAGTGCCGGCACTAGAAATTTTATTGGGGAAAACGTGAATTTTTCCCAATATTTCTGTGAAAATTTCACAGAAATCCCCAGAAATTTTACCAGAAATAGGGGAGGGTGGGGCAAAACGGCCCCCCTTCAATTGTCAATAACTTGTGAATGACATTGTGAAAATTCCCAGTTTCAACTTCATTTTGAAGATAATTTTTCATTCTTCAAAACGAGCTCTAACTCATCCCAATCGGATTATTGAATCGGAAAATATTGACGATTGAAGGGGGGCCGTTTTGCCCCATCCTCCCCTACCAAGAAATTTTACGTTAACAGAGCTAGAATTTTTCACAGCCGGTGGATTGTAATTTTTTCCAGTACTCGTACTAGAATTTTTCTAGAAAATTTCTCTCCGTGTAATTGAAGCTTTATTATTTGAATAAATATAGGAATTTAAAAGGAAAATTTCAAATGAAGAGTTTAATTTGTTTAATTTTTTCAAGGGTTTAAGCCTTAAGCGTCTTGAGTTTATAAACGCATCAAGGGGCAATTGGGAATTTCGATCGGTTATTTCATAAAAACTTTCTATGTTCATACGACCATTTCCATGCACATGATAACCATTTCTATGGACATGGTAGGCATTCCTATGTAACATAGTAAACATTACTATGAAACATAATAAGGATTACTATGTCTTACTATGTAGAGACAGTTGAAAATCCTTTTTCTATGTTACCACAGTAATTTCTCCTATGGTCATGGTAATGTTTACTATTTAATTCTCTCCGTGCACTTGATTTCATCGATTACAATGGATCCATCTGTAATTTTGACGCCATTACATCAGTAATTCTGGTCCCTCTAGCAAATTCGACTCTCAGCTCCGCCCTCACGGCAACGAATTTTCTCGAAGCATTCGAAGATATCGAAAAATCCGACGTATTTCAAATGATCCAGCGAATGCCGAAGGGTGCAGCTGTCCATGTTCACCACGAGTTCATGGTTCACGGGGATTGGCTCTACAATGCATCATTCGAGGATAATCTGTACATCTGCGATAATAATGGTCAATTCGTATTAAAATTTTTGGCAAAACCAACAAAGGATTGCAACTGGAAGTCCATGGCAAAAATGAGAGAGAATCCGGTTGTTGCTCGAGCTCTAAACAATCGTATCTGGAGGAAGATAACAATGCTCGTGAAAAATCCCAGCAGTGCGTACCCGAATTCCCATGCTGCCTGGATCAAATTGAAGGATATTTCCAATTTCATTGAGCCACTGATCAGTTACAAACCTGTGGCCGAGGCTCATCTCTATCATGGACTTAAAGAGTTGTATGATGACAGGGTTAGTTACGTCGAGTTGAGGTCACCAATTCCAACACTTTATGATCTCAACGGAAAGACTTACAGCAAACATGAGGTTTTAGGTATCTTGGAAAATGTTACAGAGAGGTAAGATCAATTTAAAATCAATAAAGATAGATCGGTTGCATGATTTTTTTTCACGACGTGCTTTTAATCAAATCAAATGATGATGTACGAGAACAAAATTTAGAGAATCTCGAGAAGACAAAACTGCTAATGATCGCTATTTTTTCATCTAAAAATTTGGAGATTTTTTCCCATTTTGTCTACACTGAGAAAAATAATTTCTAATATTTGAAACATATTTTCTTGAGAGAAGTAAATTATTTTCAATGGCTTAAATATCAGAATGTGTGCACTTCACGGAACTCGAATAAATTTTCATTCATCACTATCGTTCCGCGTTACGTCATGAATATTTTACATATTGCAATATTGGAAGTGCATAACGAAAAAATCATGAAAACAATAAAAACTAGAAGATTGACGATTCTTCTACGCGATTTAAGTAAGTTCATTTGCGACAAAATCATACTTGAGTACAAGAATATTTTAAAGCATGAGGCCTTTCTCGGGTCATGCGAGTTGAGATGCCTGAGAGAATTAAGCAATTGAAGAAAATTTACTTGTCTCAAGAAAATATGACCCTTTGGCTCGGGGTGAAAAAAAAACTTTTTCAGTTTTCACTTTTTCCACATACTTTTGAGAGTTCTGAATAGCCCGTCGCTTAAATAGTTGGAATCAACGTTTACCTGGCTAAAAAAATGACGCAGGAAAAATTGTTGGCATTTGAAAATACCGAGGATTTTTTTCAACGGCTACATCGCACGACTCCTTGACCAATCAGAATTGAGGCTTAGCGGCCAGGCAGTTTCGAGACATTCCGATATAAAACAACTTCACGTTTCTTTCATATTTAATAAATAAGAATCAAATCCTGAAAAAGTCTCATGCAACCCCAGAATAAGAAATCAATCAAATGAAGACATTTTCAGCTTCAAGAAACAACACCCCGACTTCATTGGTGCAAAAATAATTTACACGAGAAGCAACCAGAAGAGCAAGGGAGAATTCCTCAAGTTCCTCGACGAAGCTGTGCAGTTGAAGAAGGCTTACCCCAATTTCCTCGCAGGCTTGGACTTCACGGGTCAAGATGAAGGAGCACCGCATCTGATACCGTACATCGAGGATCTGAAACAGGTTAAAAAACACATGAGGCTCTTTTTCGACGCTCGAAAGACGAACTCGCCGGACCCGAGTGAGGACGAGAATTTGTTGCAAGCTCTTTTACTCAACGCGACGAGAATCGGCCACGGCTATCCGATTATAGATCATCCAGAGATGTTGGAATACGCTAAAAACCACAATACTGCTGTAGAAATTTGTCCCATTTCGAATCAAGTCCTGAGGGCGGTTGATGACATTCGTACTCATCCAGCATCACAGCTACTCGACGAGGGAGTCCCAATGGTCATTGGCAACGACGATCCAACTGCTTGGGGTGCCAAGGGACTCAGCTATGATTTCTACGAGGCCTTCATGGGCTTCATGTCCAAGAAGGCTGATCTTCGAGCCCTGAAACAACTCGCTAAAAACTCTATCCTCTACAGCTCGCTCTCGCCGGAAGAAAAAGCCCGGGCGTTAGCCATGTGGCAGGAGAAATGGATTGATTTCATCAAGGAATACGTCGAGGAAGAAGCTAGGAAAAGAAAATAGATGAGAGGAAAAAGTGACTCCAGTCGAGGCCATTCTAACACGCATTATGTGCCTGATTTATTTTTCCTGGGTCTGTTTGAGGGAATCGACTATTGAATGTTTCTTCTGTGGTCTCTTGAAATTTAAACACGTTTTAGACTAAAGTATGGAGTTTTTTTTTCAATTGTAAATAAAATATCGTATTGGACGCTAACTGATTATGTCTTTTGATCGAAAGTATGTTTTTACGCACGAAAAAGTTTAAGAGAAAAACTTAGCGAATTCGCTGGACAATTCTATTGGATTTCTATTGAGATTTCTATCAGTTTTGGTGTTTTCTATTGGTTTTGGGTGAAATGTTCAATATAAAATATTCTATAAAGAAAGTCAATGGAATTTAATTTTTCCGGAAAACTTATTCTATTGAGATATTTTCTATAGAATTCCTTCGAGTCAAATTTTCTCATTTTTTTCATTTTATTTTTTTTTATTTCATCAAGAGAATCAAAAAATAAATCTTGGAAAATTTGAGCCGAGACAATTCTGTAGAAAATATCTCAATAGAATAAGTTGTATAGAAGAAACGAGTTCTGTTGAATTCTTCGGTCAAAACTAAATGAGTGTGACTAAGTCACACTCATTTAGTTTATTCAATTTTATTATTTTGGCTTCATCGGAGGTAAGTTGTTCTCATTCAAAATCTGGAAATCGATGATCATCAAAGTTTCAAAGATTACAAAGTTTCCATCTGAAAGAAAAGAAAATATAGTAACTTATTGAAAGCTTATCGCTGAATTAATTAGCATCATTTGGGCTTTGTTATCAAAGTAATGTTCTGGCAATAGTGAGTTCTCAGTCCTTGCACTTGTGACAATGAAATCCAGATTAGTAATCTTAATATAGCAGTGGGGAGGCAGAGGAAATTTTCCAGAGATTCGGGTGCGCACAATGATGAGGCACGTAAAGAGGAAAATATGTCTCTTCGACATTGGGATAATAAAAATCGTTTTCCTTCCAATCTCCGTCAGCAGGATTCTCCATCATCCTCAGTGACTATAAAAGCATGTAGTATCTCAAGCGTCAACATCAGTCCGGATATTTCACCATATTGAGAACCTAAAATGTCGCGCATCTGTTTCTTTCTCATCTTCGCTCTTGCAATGGTCTTCATCGGAGGTGAGTCATTCAAGTTTCAGAATGTAAAGTTTTGCGGAAAACAATTCAGTACAATGGTGCAAAGACTTGTACACTGTCAAAAAATTTTAGCTGAAATTCCACGCTAAAAATACGCTTTTCAGAAATTTTTATCACACTTTTATTCCACTGAAATTTCAAGGAATGTCATCATTGGAAATTCAGAATTTCGTGGAATAATCAAGAGCTTCAAAATTATCGGGTATTTTCCGATAGGTTCGTTGCAAACAAACGAAGGAGTCAAGTTCTTCAGGTTAAAAAATGCTTCGCACTCGTGATTTTTCTTGAAAAACTTGACGGCTTCGTTTGTATGCAGGAAACCTTGAGGAAAATGCCCGATTAATTTTGAAGCTCATGTGGTATTCGGGGGATTATTTTTCCAATCCAAATGTCGGGCAATATAATTGGACCATGAGACGCAACTCACAATCCTCGGATTACCACAATTGAATTCAATCTGTCAGTTTGACGAGAGGTTAATTCGACTGCATGATGTTTGGTTTTTTATATAGCAACTACCAGAGAAAATTATCAAAAAATTATCAGTTGAAACTCTGCAGCTTGTACCACGTGATGTCGAATGGGCCAATTACCCGATATTTGGGTTGGAAAAATAATCAATGAGAACTGGAAATTTCATTTCGATTACTCCATAAAAACTAGCAGAAATCGGAAAAATTCCAGTAGATTTGTTGTTGAATACTTAATTAATTGAAATTTCATCGTAATTCAGCACTGAATTTTCAGTGAAATCTGACATTTTATGCCTTTCTCCCCCTTAAATCGCATCCAGCGATTGAATTGTGAAGTTTCAATGGCGAAATTCTTTGAACTTTCAATAAATCTCCCACTTGATGAAAATTTCCAAGAAGTGCACTTTTTTAGTGCAGTAGATGTAGTGGTGTAGGAGAATATGTTTTACGTTTACCTTTTGCTATACATATTTACTTGAGACAAGTAATTTTTCTTCAATCGCTTAATTCTGCCAAACATCTCAACTCACGAGGGCCAAGAGAGATTTCATGCTATAATATTCTTGTACTCAAGTATGATTTCGTTGCAAATGAACTCACTCAAATCGCATAGAAAAATCGTCAATCTTTAAGTTTTTATTGCTTTCATGATTTTTCTTTGTCCTTCCAATATTTCAATATCTCTCTATATTATAAAAATCCAAATCGACTTCTGGTGATAAAAATTTGCTACTCGAAATTACGGATCATAATTAAAGGTCACAGGGGTCGAAATAAGGGTCAGATTAAGGGTCACAAGGGTCAGAATAAGAATCATGGGGGTTAGCGAGCAAAGCGAGCAGGGGGTGTAGCCCCCTAGTGTAATGCAACGCAGAATGATAGTGATGAATGAGACTTTATTCAAGTTCCGTGAAACGCAAGCATTTAATCCATTTAAAAATAAGTGACTTCTCTCAAGTTAATATGATCTACATGTTAAAAAAATTTTCTCTCAGTGTCTAAATAGAATCGAATCGTGAAACTTAACAGACGAAGTTAAAATTTTCTCGAGACATATTTTGTAACTGAAAAACATTCTGACGGAGAATATCCCTTTTGACAAGGTTTCTAGAATTCCATTACACGGAGAGAAATTTTCTAGAAAAATTCTAGTACGAGTACCGGAAAAAATCACAATCCACCGGGTGTAAAAAAATCTAGTGCTGTTAAGGTAAAATTTCTTGCTATTTCTGGTACAATTTCTGGGGATTTTTGTGAAATTTTCACAGAAATACGGGGAAAAATTCACATTTTCCCCAATAAAATTTCTAGTGTCGGCACTAGAATTTTTCTAAAAAATTTTTCTCCGTATAGAAATCTTGACTTTCTCCAAATGTCTCATGCTAATGCAGAGAATACAAAATGTACAATAAAACTTTTTTGGGAATCTTGTTGCAGAAATAAGAGCTCAGAGATGTCCTCGTAATGAGGTCTGGAGTACTTGCGGTACTCGCTGTCCACCATCTTGTAGAAATCCTCGTCCAATCTGTACTATGGTATGAAACTCCTGCGACAGGATCTCAATATGATTCTACCTGAAAGAATTTTCGTCAAAAATCAATTTGCTAATTTCAGGACTGCCGAGTCGGCTGTTTCTGTAGAAGGGGTTGGTTGAGGAATAACCGTGGCATCTGCGTCAGAAGATGTTAGGAGATTACCTGAAGACTTTGAAATTGCCACTCTCTTCACGAGCCTTCCGTCTTATTCATTGAAATGCATTATCATATTTTCGAAGTTATTCTAGCCCGTATGTTTTTATGGATGGAAATAAAGATATAATTAGCTCATGTGTCAGATGTTTTCCTTCAATGACGTACTTTTCTGTAACAACATCGAGAGATATTATTGATGAGCATATATTTCCTCATATATTCAGTAGCCGGTCACTAAGCAGTGGCGATGCTCGCATTTTTCAACTATAAAACGTGTGATTCTAAAAATCAGCAGAATCATGCGGCTTCTGAATTTGTTCTTCATTTTCTTCGCTTTGGCGATAGTTTCCATTGGCGGTAAGTTATCAAATTTTCAATTAAAGGGGGTCCGCACTGAGAAAAAAAAAGTTTTCTCCGAAATACGTCTTTACTTGTCCCAAAAAAGTAACGGCTGAAAAATTTTCAAGAGCAAAATATCTCACACTGAGAAAAAAAGAAAGATGTGGACAATTGATTCGTAATAAGAAAGCGACTTCTCAAACCAGGTTAAGCGCCACACAGAAAAACCTAAACGCAAATAAAAACATAAAAATCAGAATTTAAAGTAAATTACGTTTATGTAACCGTAATTTACGAATGCGAAATGGTAAATATTGTTTATTTAATCATAATTTACGGCGATTTCTATAGGGTGTCTTGTATGCTGTGAAGAAAAGTTGGCTGAATTGTCTGGAAAAGGACCGTGAATTCGATTTAAGGAGAACAAGTCAATAGAATTTCACATTTCTCTAAAAGTTCACGTAAAATCCCAATTTTTTAGGGGCAGGAAGACAGAAATTCCACAATTTACATGAATTTGCAAGTGAAAAAGCCAATGCACTGCAAAATTTCCTTGTATTTACAGGAAATTACTTTAAAATTCTCTGAATTCCAGGAATTTTGAAAGAATTCTCTGAAAATCCAAAGGGATCTGGAATTCAAGGAGAGATTTATGGAAATTTTCCTGATTTTTCATCACTTTTCCCGGAATAATTAAGCTGAAATTTACAGTTCCCACTGATTTTTCCATAAAATTATGAATGTTCAATGACAAAATTCCTTGAAATTTCAGGGATTTTTTTTTAGCATTGTATGTTCAGCAGAAAATTTAAACGTTTTGAATAGTACAATTCTTATAACCATTCAGGGATTTCCAATAGGAGAGATGCCGATAGAACGGAAACCTATGGGCAAAATATAAATTTCTGTGAATTCCCC